GAGGCCCCATTGGATGCGCCCGCATGCGTCCGCCAGACCCAGTGCAGCGTTTCGTGGCCTCATAGGGAGCTCCACCGAAGGCCCCAGTAGGACCGCCCGCATGCGTCCGCCACGCCCAGTACAGCGCCTCGTGGCCCCAGACCAACGCCGCGGTGACGGCGATGTTGGTTAACGGTGATGTTGGGAATCTGATTTTTGTGACATCGAGCTCGCGCAGAACACATTGTAGGAAATCACGAACCACACTTTCCTACATTCCAAATGCGCGAATGTATCGAGCGAAAACGACGCAGCGAATTGTAGGAAAGCACGAACCACGATGTCCTACAATCAGCTTGGCCACGAACCAATCCCACCTACAACGCCGAAACCTACATCGCCGTTACCTCCATTGCCGTTAGCGCGTCTACGGCCATAGGGAGCTCCACCGACTGTCCCAGTGGGACCGCCCGCATGTGTCCCCCCACCCAGTACAGCGCTTCGCGGCCCCATAGGGAGTACCACCGACGGTCCCAATGGGACCGCTCGCATGCGTCCGCCACACCTGGTACCGCGTTACGTGGCCCCATAAGAAACTCCACCGAATGTCCCAGTGGGACCGCCCGCATGCTTCCGCAACACCCAGTACAGCATCTCGTGGCCCCACAGGGAGCTCCACCAAAGGTTCCAGTGGGGCCGCCCGCATGCGCCCGCCACACCCAGTACAACGCTTCGTGGGCCTGTCAGGAGAAAGCCCCCACCGAACAACCCTTTGCGGCCGCCCGCATGCATCCGTGATGCCCAGTACAACGCTTCGTGGCCCCATAGGGAGCTCCACCGAAGGCCCCATGTGGGACCGCCCGCACGCGTCCGCCACACCCAGTACAGCGCAGTGTGGCCCCATAGGGAGGGAGCTCCACCGAAGGCCCCAATGGGACCGCCCCGCCCGCATGCGCCCGTCACACCAAGTACAGCGTTTCGGGGCTCCACAGGGAGCTCCACCGAAGGCCCCAGTGGAGCCGCCCGAATACGCCCGCCACACCCAGTACAGCGTTTCGTGGCCCCATGGAGAGCTCCACTGAAGATCCCAGATGGACCGCCCGCATGCGCCCGCAACCCCCAGTACAGCGCTTCGTAGCCCCATATGAAGCTCAACCGAAAGCTCCAGTGGGACCGCCCGCATGCGTCCGCCACACCCAGTACAGCGCCTGATGGGCGCATAAGGAGGGGACTCCACCAAAAGTCTCAGTGGGGCCGCCCGCATGCGTCCGCCACACCCAGTACAGCGCCTCGTGGGCCCATACGGAGGGCACTCCACCAAAAGTCCCAGTGGGACCGCCCGCATGCGTCCGCCACACCCAGTACAACGCTTCGTGGCCCCATAGGGAGCCCCACCGAAGGTCCAATTGGGACAGCCCGCATGCGTTTCCCGTACCCAGTACAGCGTTTCGTGGCCCCATAGGGAGCTCCACCGAAAGCCCCAGTGGAACCACCCGCATGCGTCCGCCACACCCAGTACAGCGCTTCGTGGGCCCATAGGGAGGGAGCTCCACCGAAGGCCCCAGTGGCACCGCCCTGCATGCGTCCGCACACCCAGTGAAGCGCTTCGTGGTCCCTTAGGGGGCTTCAGCGAAGGACCCAGCCCGCATGCGTCTCCACTACCAATTACAGCGCCTCGTGGCCCCAAATGATGTAGCTCGACCGAAGGCCCCAGTGAGACCGCCCGCATGCGCCCCCCCCACCCATCACAGCACGCCACATCACGCGTTGCGTGACCCACCGAAAGCGGCACCTACCACGCGTTACTCACAACTGCATCTGTCTGGGTCGCAGCAGATGCAGTTGTTTTTAATGCCGCAGCAGATTTGAGCCTGGCGGAGGAGTCCGTTGGCTGCGATGCCACCCGAGGACCCTGCTGCAACGCAGGCCCCGAACTTGCCGACTCACGCAGCATGCACAGGGCGCTCCCGCCCTAACAAGGGGGACGACCACAAGGCACAGGCATAGACTGCCGGAGGTCCGTGCGGATGTCTTGGATCGGCGCAGGACTCCCACCCCTGGCGCGCGGAGCGCGCCAAGGGCGGCGCCTCTGGCGGCGCCAGGGGGCTCCAGCGCAGGCCCGAGAAATCCGCGCAACCTCCAAACATTCCTGCTGACGCAAATGCTTCTTTCTCGAACTACGGCGCAAGCTCTGTTTCCTGTCTCCGCGTGAACCGCTTGTTTCTGTCTCGAACTACGGCGCAAGCTCTGTTTTACGCTGCGCACCCGGGGGAAACTGAGAAGGATCGGACCTCATCAGAAGGCTCGGAAGTCCCCTGGCCTTCTGAAAAGCTTTCGGAGTCTTCCCCGAGGACACAACATACTTCTCAGAAGGCGCGAAGGCTTCTGAGAAGTCACGCCGCCTTCCGAGAAGCATTATCATTCTCACTCCCCTCCCTCATTCGCCGCCGAGCTTTCATACTGAGAGGTTCCTGCTGCGAGAGGTCCCCAAAGGCCACCGGCGGTCTTCAGCCTAGAACCCGCGCCCGCGCTGCCGAAACACGGCGAAGAGGCGCAGCCCCCGACCTGCGAATCCATAGTTACTCTTGCTGCTTCGACAGGCCAGCCGCACACGTGCGGTCGACCGCATGGCGTGACTTTCCCGCCCGGGCTGGAGAGACCTTCTCAACTCCATGCGGAAAAACGGCATGAACCAAGGGCGACCCCGATTAGGGGATGTCCTTATCCCAAGGACAAAACATTTTGTCTGGGGCAGTGCTATGATGGTCTTTGATGGGATCCGAAGCGTACCTCCAGACGCCGAAATCAGGCAGCCACCGCCTGCAGAACATATTTCTGAAACACTGGCGGGGCTGAGAATGGGCGGGATGCCTGCAGCCAAATTCACCCAAACAAGGGTGTCCAATACCCCAACGTCGAATTCGTGGCGCGCCCGACATGGGTACGGAAAAAATTGTACGATGTTCAAGAGTAACCTACGTCCCAACTTGACAGGGACAACTGTTGCGGCTGTTGGGCTGACGACGCTCTGATTCAAATGGACAGCATCCGCGGTGACACCGACAACGATCCTCGTTCACAATGGACAAGACCTGCTGCCGGCCTTCAGGGACATTGCAAACACCACCAGGGACCACCAGCGGGAGGAGCCGTGGAGGGGTCCCCCTGGTGGTGTTGTCCCCCCTCTCGCTCGAGACATCCCTTATCCCCAGCTCGGAGAGGCATCGTGGACCTCCTCGCTGGAGGTGGCCCCCCGGTGGTGCTGGTGGTGCTTCTCCTTCCCCTCAGGTCTTCGTGCCCATTTCTTTCTGTATCTGTCTCGACCGTACTGGAATCGGAACTGGCACGAAGCGCTGCCGCCCAAGTCCCAAGTCAGTCCTCCCCCCCCCCGTGTCCATCCTGGCTAGTCTCTCCCGAGCTGCCTACGGCCGCGACCACGGGAGCCCCCAGCGGCGCAACGGACCCCCCAACAAAAGCAAAACGCGAAAGTCGTGCACCTTCGATGCTCTCCACCCACCAGAAGCACATCCGCCACCGCGCTTGCAGCGGTGGGTGTGCATCGGGCCCTTCCGCCAGTCGCGAAGCAGCAAGTAGGGCACCCCGTCGCGTCGAGCCCAGGATGCGTCCATGCTTGCGGCCAGGGCCTCCGGCTTGTTGATACTCCAGGCAGAACATGGTGCGCACAAAGCTTGCGGAAAGGGGCGGTCCACGGACGCGGCCTCCTTCCCCACCCCGAGGCGTTCCCTCCTCCCCGTCCGCCTGAGCGCGGTGGCAGAATCGCGCAGCAGCGCCGGAGGAGGAGGAGGGGAGGAGGAGGAAGGAGGGGGATGAGGAGGAGGAGGAGGGGGAGGAGGAGGAGGAGGAGGAGGAGGAGGAGGAGGAGGAGACAATATGCTACATGCAGCCTCAAACTCTCGGATTCGTTCTGCGGCGCTGGACCACACCTTCCCGGCGCGCTCCTGCGGGCGCGCTCCCCCTCTGTAAGATTTGAACACGCTGCCTTCGACTTTAGGGGGGGGGGGGGGGGGGGAAACACGTGAAACTCATCGATGAAGGGGCCCCAGGACACACAAACAAACACACACACACAAATAAAACTATCCCAAACATTTTCCCATATGTTATGGGTTTCTGTCTTCCCCCCCCACATCCCATATTTTCCCATATTTTCTGGGGAAACGAAGATTCATTGTGTCTGCGTGTTTCTTTTCCTCCTGAGTCGGACCTGGACCCTCACCCCACGCGCCCGCACGCGGAACGACGACTCCTGCACGTACCCTCTACACCCCTTGCTCAGTGGGTCGCCGCCGACCTCGCGCCGTGCGAGCCCACCGTGTCCTCGAGCCACACTCCGGCCGCAGGGCGGGAGCGAGGCGGACGAAACATGAATAAAAAAGGTTGTTCCGCCATCGGGGGCGCGTTCCCCTGGGCGGCTGCAGTGCTTACGCCCTCGCGGAGGCACGCGAGGGCAGAATCCATCGAGCCTCTCCTGAATCTGCCCCCACGCGCCCCCCGCCCCCTTCGGCAGAACGATCCGTCCCAGACCCGCACCGAGAGAATCGAAAAGTACCGATGATGATGCTCCCCGGGCCTCTCCCACGGGGCGTCGACCAGAATTTCGAAGCGAATGAGGCGGTGGCGACGAGGGCCGCCCAGGAGGCCCAAAAACAGAAAAAATAACGAAGAACCTGTACTGGTATGGCTAACCTTTTTCCTCCTCTGACGCACGCCGTCTGCGTGCCGATGACGCTACTGCCCAAGCCTTTTCGCCCCTGCAGGGGTGCGTTCGGGCTAGAATTTCGAAACGTATCGTCGATCGATCGGCGATAAGCCCCCGATAGTGACTCCGTACCTTCCTGGGCGGGGTGGGGCAATCAGGCCCCTATCGGCGATCATCGGGCGTGTAGGGGTCGACGCATCCCCCCGATGCTTGCCCTCCCGATGCTTGCCCCCCCGATGCTTGCCCCCTACCTTGTCACTGCTGCGAGGGGGGACAAAAAGACGAGGGGGCGGGTCCCCGCCTGCGTCTCGTTGCGCGCCGCGCCCAACGCGTCGCACTCCTCGCCGAGCTTCCGGGCCTGCCCGGCGGGGCCGGGGGTGGCAATTCGCGGGCCCCACGGAAGCCTCGACGCACCCACCCAGCGCACGGGGCGCCCACGATCGCCCTCGAGGCGGAACGGGGCGGCCACGTGGAAAATACTCGGCGGGCCCGACCAGAAGAATCCACGGCCAGAGGGACCCCGAAGCCCCCAAAAGCAGAAAGGAGAGGCCCAAAAAAGGGCGCCTGGACGGCCCAAGGGGCCCCCAAGACGGCCCAACATGACCCTGAAACCGCCAGCAGGCCCCAATGAGGCCCGATGAGGTCCCCAAGAAGGCATGATACCAGGAGGCCCCAAAGAAGCCCCCGAGAGGCTTCCCAGGAGATACCCACCACCCACCAGCGCCCAGAAGGCGTCTGACCTACAACAAGCGCGGTGGCGGATGAGATCCGCCGCCCCTTGTTATGCCAAGCGTGCTCAACTTCTGACGTTTTTTGTGTGATGTTTGAGACTCCCCTTGGGGCTTCGGCCCATTGCGCTGACCACCCAGAGAGCCGCCGACAATTCGTTCCCCGTGGGTCGAATCGCCTTGACGACGGCCCAGATAGTTTTTGAAGCGCGCGCCCCAAGACACTGCAGTGTCTAAAGGGATGGGGCGCGATGGCGATGGGGGAGACAAGGGCGCACTTTTCTCCTCGCACCGCCGCAAATCGACCGCAAGCAGCGGAGCCCACGCCGGCGGATCGGACAGCGCTGCCTTGGACCAAAACAGCAGCGGAAGAAGGCAAGCATGCGTTCCCACCCTGGGACGCGCCCTGAAAGTCGAGGGGGGGCACGAAGCCTGCCCGTGGCTGCCACAGCTGCAGTAGCCCGTACAGACCAGGATCGCGAGAGCGCGGAATACCGGATCGTGGTTCTACGGCCCGGTATGCTCAGCACACGCGTCAGGGCAGAAGCGAGCTGCGCACGCGCAGCCTGGGGTAGGCCAGCCCGGCGGCAGCCCAAAAAGCTCCGAAGAGCACCGAAAGGGCTGATCTCACATCGGCAGACTGATTGTTTGCCTCGCGCGTCCACGAAGCAGAAAGCCAAGCAGCGCCAAGCCACGAGACAAGTACGCGGCGAAAGGATGGCTGAAGGAGCGCAGAGACACGATCACCTCCAAGTCGCGTGCCCACGACATATGAATGGCAAGACGGGCGCGGGCACGCGCCCGCCCTAGGCCGCCGCGGTTCCGCGACAGCACTGAGCGGGGCCAGAAAGAGGACGACCACCCTTTCAGACAAATGTTGGCCGCGGCTGAGCACCCCCTCAGACCGCTCAGGGTCAAATAGGGCGTATTGACAGCGGCGGCGGCGCGTATTGACGGAGGGAGGTTCACATGGCATGGCGCATCTGTCCTAACTTCGCGCGTGCAACCCTGGGGCCCATTCATGCATAGCAACAGTCAATCCCGTTTGGTAGAACTTTCGGCATGCTCGTCTGCCGTGGCAACGTGGATGCCACACCGTTGTGCAGTGTCTAGAACGGCGAGTTCCAGACACTCTCTGGTCCAGCTTGCATGGCCCAGCGACGTGCTCTCGGCGGGCGTGCTCAGGTCCTTGCCTGCGAGAGACTTGGCTGCGGATTCGGCGCCGAAGGATAATTTGATACAGGCTACATTGTTCACGGAGCTGTTTGAGCCCCGATGGGGTCAGAGGACCCTTGCTGCTCATGCAGCGTCACTGCAGCTAGCGCTTCGGGAGCATTGCTGCGGCGAACCTGGAGGCGATGAGATGTACGTAGGCTCTCGGTGCAATGGATGACCGCTCCCTCATCGCTCGTGATTCCACGACGCAGGAGGGTGCGCCCCCGAAGCCCGTAGCCTTGCGAATCATCGCCTCGCCTCGCCACTAAGCTCTCGGTCGCCCGGGTCGCTGCGTAGATCAGCCTTGCCATCGTGGGTCATGGCTCGGTGGGTGGTATTACAGGGGCCTTGTAGTTGCATGTGTTTGAGGGCGTTGAGTCGTCGGACCTGGAGATGGGTCAGTTGGTGAATGCGTTGCGGTGGTACGATGTATACCATGAATACGATGCGTTGCGGTGGCAAGGGGTCCACGCAGACTGACACACACACATATCGCTTCCAGTCTTGCTCGCCATTAATTCTGGTGAAATTCCGACGAGATCGGGACGTGCGATCGGACGTAGCTGTTTGACATATTCGTCTTGGTCCATGATCGCGTCCCACGTTCGGTATTGGCGCACCTCGCTTCGCAATGTGTTCAGGAGGTAGCGTGAAACGCGCAGTGCGTTCCTGCTCCCCCGCGGCCTCAACGAGTTCCTTCGAAGTAAGTCCTTCAAGGACCGCCTTGTCCACGCCCAGGCTCGCCAAGATCCAATTTTCATGAAAAGAAGCCGCACTCACCAATTGCCGCTGTGAAACACGTTTAGCCGTTCCCGGAAATGACTCCACCGAGCAGGCTTCCAGGTCCGTGAAGCCGCTCAACACAAGTCACATTCGGATGACCTTCTCGGTCTGGCCGTGGTGATTCTTAATGGATGTCCATTCACAAACGTAACGCGACGTCATCACGGAATTGATGACGCAATGACATTCCGCGACATCATCACATCCATTCATACCTGTAAGGCGGCGTCGTGGGTGCGACAGGGGAACTTGTTTGCGACCCGAGAAATTTTCTCAGAAGGTGTTGGACTCGGCGCCGAAACATCGGGACATACGCGTGAGAACTGTCCGTTGGGATTCCCTCCTGCCCAAAAAGTCCAACCGACTCGGGGGAGTCCTTCTCGAGATCTACCGTCGAATCGTGCGTAACATTTCTGGGTACAGGAAAATAGTTGTCGACGACAGCATCGTTGGTGTACAAGCACGAGTCCTTTCTCTCGATGGCTGCTGCGGCGAGAGCATCCGCCAGTTTGTCGTGTTCCCTGCAACAGTGTGAGAAATAGTCAAAAAAGAAATGTCCTCGGACCACACCGCAGCATCGTGAACCAACTGTGCATAGATGTTTGGGTCTCTGAGAATACCTTCCTCCCACACGCTTCCACCCGGTAAAGGGTATCGTCTACTTTCCACACGCCTCGGATGCAGTTGACCACGAGCAAGGAGTCCCCAAGGACCGCCGCCGTAACGTGCGATGGGACATCGCGTGGGAGACGACCTCCGCGGCAGACAGGCGCGGGTGTGGACAATCCCCTGGAAGGAGCGGTCAGATGTAGTTTGGCCAGTCCCGCGGCTGTGACAGGACGATGATGGGGATGCTGCTGCTGCTGCTTCGAATAACACTACTGATGATCATGACGACGACGCCGCCGTCGACGACGACGAGGATGATGATGATGATGACGATGATGATGCTGCTGATGATGATGCTGACGATGCTACTCATGATGAGAAGAATTTATCTACGAGTGGTACTTGCCTCGGTGATCATGGGACACGGCCTCGCCGCTCCCCGCCGACGAGCAAGAGTGCTCGCGCCCGGGACCACCACGACACAAGGGGAAAGAGGGGGGAGTAGGCTTTATTGTCGGGTGCATGCGGCTATCCGTGCGACGCGCATCCACGGGATCGCGCGCTGGAATCCAGACTGCGAGGGCGTGGATACAGCAGGGGCCCGACCGCAAGAGAACTTGCACAAGAGACCCAATCCCGAGACCCCAGCACGCCCCTCGATCTCTGGTGCGGGCTGGGAAGTATCCCGCGGCGAGACAGCAACAAAAAAGCGACGAACACGTCCGACATCTTTATTCCCGTACGCCGTGCAGTCGAGGGAGATCCCCCGGATGGGAGCACACACATCGCCGGACGCGTGGGGGGAATGCGCGGGTAGCGACCACATCCGCCTCTGCGCCCTCGCGGTCCGGATTCCGGGGCGCGATCCCGCGGATGCACTGGGTCGCAAGGATTGAGCAGGGACCGATCGTCCCGGCATTCCTAAGAGTCCTACCGCGAAATGTTCTCAGAACCCACACATGTTCTAGGAAACAACAATGTTCTTAGAGCATAAACCCGATGTGTTCAAACAAGACAGACTCCGCCAGAAATGTTCTCAGAACATTCCGCGGAAACCACAAAAAAAGGTTCCTAAGCATTGCTTGGTAGGGCCATAGGCGAGCCAGGACGCTTCGCCGCTGCGTGGAAGGATACGCTCCGCGCGGGGGGCATCCGCGAGAGCACGCCCCGCATCTGGCCATCGCTCGGACGTCCACTCCCTGTGTTTTTTCGGTTTCGTGCGTGACTTTTTCGTCAAATCATCAATGATGCTCCTCGATGGTCCTCGCCGAAGGAAAAATGCACACGTCCGAGCGATGCCAAGGCATACGCGGGGCCCCGCCCGCGAGAGGCCCCGCCCGCGAGAGGCCGCGGACGCAGACGTGCTCCCTTCGCCCACGGCGGCTGGTCGGCGGCGCGCCCCAGAGACGCGCACGCCTCCCCATCGGGGGCGGCCAACGCGGGGGGCGCCCACGAGGGGGGGGGCGCAACTCATGGCCGGCGGCACGTGCGCCGCCCAGGGGGGGGGTCCGGCGGCCGTAACGACACAAGAAGAGTCGCCATGATTTCTGGGGAGATAGCATGGCCCGCGCCCTGAGATCCACCCCCCCCTAGTCACCACCCCCCTCTTGGCCGCCCCCGAGCCGGGGCTTCTGACAAGCCCCGCCGCCATCTGAGAAGGCCTGCCTGGCCCCCTCTCACTTCCCCCCACGCTCGCCCCCGACAGGGGCCAGGCCCGCGAGGTCGTGAATGTGGATGCATGCTCCGAGTAGGAGCTCGACTAATTGACATTCGCCAGAAGTGTTCTCTCCTGCCAAGCCTGTGAAAACAAAAACAAAAAAAACAGAACGTTCGTAGCTATACGAACAGTCTACGTTTGTTTCGTGAATCCGACTGGAAACCATTTTTTTGGATAAGTATATCAATTCAGTAGTCGATTTCCTACTCGAAGGTTTTCCACCTGTGAAAAAGGGTGGCCCAATCCAGAACTTGAGCGACCGAAGTGGGTGCGGAAAACATGGGCACGATGCCCAACCAGAAACGTTGTCTCCAGAACCAACTAAGACGAAGCCAGGACGAGGATAACATCGGGTGAGGATGAATCGAATATCTGAGATCCGTTGGCTCTGGAGGAGCCGCGGCAATCTCAGAGCGATCTGGGACGCTCTGAGAGCGTTCTGGAACGCTCAGGAATGGATTTACCCTCGTCCTAGCCCCGTCCGACCAGCAGGGGGCGCCGCTGCGCAGGCGGCCTTGCGCACTTAATCGACAACGTCCGTGGCGACGCCGACAACGCATCCGGTTCAAATGGATCAGATCTGGTGTCGGCCTTCGTGCCCACTGTTTCCGTGCCCATGTCGATCCTACCGATCACAGGGGAGAGCAAGAAGACTTGCCATCGCTCGGACGTTCATTCCCCGTGCACTGCGTGGTGTCGTGCGTTTGTCCTGGTGGTCTTGAGATTCAGTCCTGGATGCTCTCCGAGAGTCCAGATGTTCTGGCGCTGGCTCTCCGAAACACATGCTCACGTCCGGCTGATGCCCAGAACGACACATTGTCGAGACGATGAGGCTAGAGGCCTCCTAGATGGGGTCGGGCATTGCCGACACATCGGCGATGCATCGATGATGCATCGGCGATGCATCGTCGACGTCGGCGATGCGTCGGCGACGTCAACGTACAGCAAATCGGGCTTCACATCGAGCCGCATCGCCGATGCATCGGCGACGCGGCGCGATCCTCCGACCCCATCTACTGCGACCCAATCTAGGAGGCCTAGATCGGAGGGAGAGGGGGAGGAGGAGGAGGAGGATGAGGAGGACGGGGGGTGGAGGAGGAGGAGGAAGGAGGAGGAGGAGGAGGAGGGGGAGGAGGAGGAGGAAGAGGTGAAAAGGGTGGAGGAGGAGGAGAGGAGGAGGAGGAGGAGGAGGAGGAGCAGAAGGAGGACGAGGATGAGGGGGAGGGAGGAGGGAGGGAGGGAGGGAGGAGGAGGAGAAGGAGACCCAGCGGCGCGCGCGCGGGGGGGGGGCTGCGCTCCTCCTCCTCGCGCCTGGCGGTGAGCGCCCGGGCGTCGGAGCAGTTCTTCCGCGCGGCCTGGGCCGCGCCGCGGGAGGAGAGAGGGAGGAGGGAGGAGGAGGAGGAGGAGGGGAAGGAGGCGAAGGAGGAGGAGGAGGAGGAGGAGGAGGAGAGGAGGAGGAGGAGGAGGAGGAGCAAATCGAGGGAGGGAGGAGAGGAGGAGGAGGAGAAGGAGAGGAGGGGGGCGGCCGCTCGAGGCTCGAACGGGCCGTCGCCGTCGCCGACCGCGGGGGTGCGGCCGCTCGGGCCGTCGCCGTCGTCGCCCGCGGCCGATCGATGCAGGCATCAGACGACTAGGACAGAAAGACGAATAGGACAAAAGGACGAAGAGGACATCAAGAGGAACTCTCGGAGCTCCGCGCGGTGCGCGGGCGCGCGCCGGCCGCCACGGCCGCCGCGGCGGTCCGCAGCCGTGCGGCCGTGGCCCCGAGCGCGACAGGGGTCGGGCGGCAGGACGCGACGCGACGCGACGCGACGCGACGCGACGCGTGGGGGGTGGCCCGCTCGGGGCTCCATCGGGCCGCCGCCGTCGTCGGCGTCGGCCCATCTGGGAGAGCAGCTCCCGCATCTCAGACTTTCTGTGCATGGATGGTTCTTTCAATCCGGCCGTGTCTCTGGCCTCCGCGCGGCCCCTGTGGCGTGCAGATGGGGGCCAGCCCGCAAGAAACCCAACGCCGAGACCCGAGGACGTCCATTGGTTTTTGGTGTGGGAAGTCATATTTTCCACAGCAAAACTGAAGGGGCCCTGGGAAATTTCTGTTTTTTTTTGTCTCCCCCCACACTTCCCATATTTTCCTATATTTTCTGGGAATCGCAAATTAATTGTGTCTGTGTGTTTTTTCCCCTCCTGAAAAACCATGGTGTTTCGTGGCATGGGCCCCCACTGTATGGGCATGGATGGCTCTTTCACTCTGGCCGAGTCTCCCCGACTTCTTCGGCCTCCGCGCGGCCTCTGTCGCGCAGGGGGGCTCCGCGTTCGGAGGGCGCTCCGGCCGCTCCGCGGTCCTCCTCTAGCCGACCCCGCCTGCTGGACCCAGCTCGCTGCAGATCCAAAGGTGTCGAGGGGCGGGGGGGTTCTTCTTCTCCTCCTCCTCCTCCTCCTCCTCCTCCTTCTCCTCCTGCTGCTCCTCCTCCTCTTCTTTCTCCTCCTGCTCTTGTCCCCCATTTCCTCCTCCTCGTCCTTGTCCTCCCCTTCCTCCTCCTCCTCCTCCTCCTCCTCCTCCTCCTCCTCCTCCTGCTCGTTGTCCTCCTCCTCCTCCTCCTCCTCCTCGGGGGGGGGGGGGGCGCTCGGGGCACGACGATCGGGCCGTCGCCGGCGCCAGCGGCCGACCGATGGAGGGCAGAAGGCGGCACAGCCATGAGGTGGAGCCGCTCGGGGCGCCCTGTCCGGGAGCACCGCTTCCAAGTCTCCGACGACGTGATTCCTTCAGTCCAGCCATGTTCCCTCGATTTCGGCCTCCTCCTCCTCCTCCTCCTCCTCCTCTCCTCCTCCTCCTGCTCCTGTTCCTCCTCCTCGTTCTTACCCTCCTCCCCCTCCTCCCCTCCCCACGCTCCTCCTCCTCCTCCTCCTCCCCCTCCTCCTCCTCCTCCTCCTGATTCAGTCTGGCCATGTTTCCTCGATTTCGACCTCTGGAGCCCGTTGTCGAGAAAGGCGAGCGCCGATCTCCGCAGCCGCACAGGCGCACGGCCGCGCACCCCTTGAAGGCGTCGGCGGCGGGGCCGTGGCTCCTCAGATGATGGCGAAGACGTGGCGGAATCAGTTCGGTGACCATCCTCCTGGACCCGGGGCCGATTGGGGGCTCGATCGGGCCGTCCCCGTCGGCTGATCGACAGAGGGCAGAGCATTTGAGAACCGTGACCATTTGGAGCTGCGCGCGGACTTTTGGATGGTCGCGGGGGCGCCTCCAGCGCCGCCCCCTGCTCGCTCAGCACGCCAGGGAGGGGAGGGTGGGTTCAGCGTTGGGCCAAGAGATCCGTGCGGAGCTTCAAACGCTTGATTATGTTTGTGCCCTCTTCAAAACCCGAGGACCGTGCTTCGCTCGTCAATCGAGCGTCGACCAATCGTCGTCCGACCGATCGGCCGCGACCGAAGCCGACCCAGCGAGAAAGCAGCCGAGAGGGACGCCATGGCGCAGCAACCTGCCGAAGCAAGTCGACCGAATGGGGCCGCCTGCGAATCTGTCTGTGAGGGCCATGGGACGGGGCCCCAAACCGGGCGACCTGGCAAAGGACCCCAACCCTTCGTAGACGTGAGAACGAGGCGCCATGCGGACACAGCCACTGGTCGGGAGGGTGTCCAAGAGGGGGGGGTGCAAATCATGTCCGGCGGCATGTGCGCGGCCCAGCGGGGGGGCCAGGGACGTAATGAAACAAGAAGAGGCGCCATGAAATCAGGGGAAATATCATGGCCCACGCCATGATATCCACCCCCCCCCTAGTCATCACCCACCTCTTTTCCGCCCCCGAACTGGGGCCGTCGGTGGGGAGCCCCCATGGGAGGCAGGAGACGTATGAGGGGTGCGCCGGAAATGGCGCGGCGGCGTCATGCGGACTCCCGGAAGCACCCACTGGGGCCAGCGGCAAAGCTCCCTTGGGAGGCAGGAGCCGGGGCGAAGGCAGGAAGAGGAAGGCGAGGAGCAGCGGGAGGAGGTCGAGGAGGAGGAGGCGGAGGCGGAGGGGGCGGCGGCAGAGCCGCCGTTGCGAGGCGGGCAGGAGGCAGTCTTGGGTCGGGCACGTCCTCCCAACAGGCAGAGGTTGGAAGAAGCATGACTAAGAACAGCAAACATGCCCGAACGTCATCGGAACCGAATCAAAACATCGTCCCCGTACTGTTTCTCAACTCTGGTTGAGCACTCCTCCTGCAGAAGGGGCAGGCCCGACCGAAAGGCATTTCAGCGGCGCGGCGCGCGCTGTCGCCGATCGCCTGCCCGGGGCCCTGCATGGTGGGCTTGTTTTCCACCGCCACCACCACAAGTGGGAGGGGGAGGGGGTCCTCCTCCTCTTCCTCCGCCTCCTCCTCCTCGTCCTCCAGCTCTTCTTTCTCCTCTTCCCCTTCTTTTCCCTCCTCCTCCTCCTCCTCCTCCTCCTCCTCCTCCTCCCTCCTCCCCCACCTCCTCCCCCCTCCCCTCCTCCTCACTCCTCCTCCTCCTCCTCCTCCTCTCCTCCTCCTCTCCTCCTCCTCCTCCTCCTCCTCCTCCTCCTCCTCCTCCTCCTCCTCCTCCTCCTCCTCCTCCTCCTCCTCCTCCTCCTCCTCCTCCTCCTCCTCCTCCTCCCCCGTCCACCTGATGGTGGTGGCGGTGGTGGTGGCAAGCAGGCCCATCACTGCAGGGACCTCGCACCCCGCGGCGCGAGGCCGCCCCCCCCACCACCCCCATGCGGGGACCCGCCGCGGGCCGCGGACCTCTGCGGGCCCGAGGCCCCGGCGCGCCGCGGCCGCGCGGTTCCGCGGGCCCCATGACCCTCGAGGGTGTGGCTCAAGAGGTGGTGGGCTTGCTTTCCACGGCCACAGCCAAAAGATGGAGGGGGGGAGGGGGTCCTCCTCCTTCTCCTCTTCCTCCTTCCCCTTCGTCCTCCTCTCCTGCTCCTCCTCCTCCTCCCCCTCCTCGTCTTCCTCCCCCTCCTCCTCTTCCTCCCCCTCCTTCTCCTCCTCCTCCTCCTCCCCTCCACCTCCTTCTCTTCCCCTCTAGCTTATGGTAGTGGTAGTGGAAAGTAGGCCCATCGAGAAAAAGCGCAGAAAGTTGGGTCGACTTGTCCTCGGTGCGTCGGGTCTCACAGCAGGGCCAGTGCAGACAGCGGCGGCGCCCCCCAGGGACGCGCCGCCTTTCCTGGGCCTCCGGGAACCTTGTCGCCGCCACGGCTGGAGCCGCCTCGAAACGAGGGCCCGATGTCGAGCGGATTCGGGCCGGGCGGGAGAGACGCCGCCGTCGCCGTCGCCGTCGCCGTCGCCGTCGCCGACGACGACGACGGCAACGGCAACGACGACGACAACGACGACGGCAACGACGACGACGACGACGACGACGGCGACGGCGACGGCGACGGCGGCGGCGGCGGCGGCGGCGGCGGCGGCGGCGGCGGCGACGACGACGACGACGACGACGACGACGACGACGACGACGACGACGGCGGCAGCGGCGGCGGCGGCGGGCGGCGGGCGGCGGGCGGCGGCGGGCAGGCGGCCACGGCCCCGCGCCGCCGCGGCCTCCAGCGCCCGCTGTGCCGACGCTCTCGCGGCCAGCGTCTCCGAGTGCTGCGAGACGGAGGCCGCGCGGGCCTCGCCCGGGGGGCGCGCTCCCTCGTCGGCGAGGCGGGGTGCCGCCGCCGCCGTCGTCGCCCTCGTCGTCGTCGTCGCTGCCGTCGTCGCCCTCGTCCTCGTCGTCGTCGTCTTCGACAGCGGCGGGGTCCTCGTTCTCGTCCTCGTCGTCGTCGTCTTCGTCGCCGTCTTTCCACGGCGGTCAAGGGGCCGCACGAGAACGACGACCCTCGGTCTCCACCCCAACGCTTCTAATCGTTTCGGCCATGGGGGCCAAGTGACCGTGCACCGTGCTATTCCTGGAACGAGGATCGGCGACGGCATGGGCTCCAACATTATCTTGCATCTTGGGGGGGCCTCGTCTGTCCCGTCGCGGCCCTATCCGCGTCGAGTCCGTGCCGCCTCGTCGGACCGACGAGCTGACGGTTGCCACTCCGGGCATTTCTACGGCCCCCGCGGCCCTTTCTGGCGGGCCCGGTGGCCCCTCCAACACGGATCCGGGGCGGATCGCTGGCCGGAGGGGCGAGGTCGGGACAGCTGGGGCCGCGCCTCCTGGAAAAAAGGCATGTCGGCGGATGGCGTGGGGCAGAGAGAGAGGCCGAGGAGGCGCCTGTGCGGTGGGGGAAAGCAGGAAGGGGGAGGGGGAGGGGGATAGCAGGAAGGGGATGAAGCGGGGCGACAGCGCGCAGGGGGGGGCGGGGCACAGGGGGGTCGAAAAACGCTGGCGCCGAGGGTGCGCTGGCGAGCAGTTGACTGTTTGAAAAGAGGGTTTGGATGATCCAGGCGAAGTGGGCCCCGCCCGCTTCGCGGAGAGATCACTCCCTCAGAACCTCTTGGGGCACCTGCAACCCACTGATGAGCCAGGTTAGGCCCGATATTGAAGGGGCCCAGGGACACACACAAATAAATACACACACGAATCCCAGGAATACCAGCATTGTCCATATATTATAGGTTTTGTCTTCCCCCCCACTTCCCCACACTTCCCCATATTCCCGTGGGAACCGACGATTCGTTGCCTGTGTGTTTTTGTTCCCCTCCTGGGATACAAGTCACCTTGGCATCCGCCGATGGTGCCCGGCCCCATCGGCAACCCCCGCGTCGCTCTCTGGGCGGCCCTCCCCGAAAGGCTGGGATTCGCCTTCGCCGCCAGAGGTCGTCGTGGCCGCCGCCGCCGCCGCCGCCGCCGTGGAACCTACGGCACATGCAGTCCAGGACGTGAAACGGTGCTCTCCCAAGGCAGCCGATCCTCCCCGACGGGGCAGGGAGAGAGGAGCACGGTGACGAAGGCATGATGGTGGCGATGATGATCAGGATGAAGTAACCAGCCTCGAACTTGTCCCTATCCCTAAGATGGGCGAGCAAAAAGCGAGGACAATCTTAGGGATAGGCCCTCAAAAACTGAGGAAACCCTTAAGATCGGCATCGAGGTGAGGTGATGTCAAACATAGGGATAGGGATAGGTTTCAAACTGGTAATGCAAGGAACGGGAAGGGGGCGATGCCAAAAGGAGGGGACACGGAGGAGACGCGAGACGGAGCCTGCTCCGTGCGAGCCCCCGCAGCCACCAGCAGCCCGAGGAGGTCCGCCTCGCGCAAGTAGGCGCCGAACTGCTCCGCGTCGGCCTGCTTCGCGGATGCGCCGAGGGGGGGGGGGAGCGAGGAGCGAGGAGGAGCGAGACGGAGCGCGGAGGATCGAGGATCAAGGAGGAGTTGAGGAGGAGGAGGAGGAGGAGGAGGAGGAGGAGGAGGAGAAGGATGAGGAGGAGGAGGAGGAGGAGGAGGACGGGGGGATTTTTTTTCAACCGCAGAAGCCTTCCACCTCAAATGAACCAGACGGCCCCGAGGGCTGACCGCCTAGCCCCGATCATTGTGACCAGGGGCCCCTCTGGTCGCCCAGGCAGCTGAATCTCCCGCAGTTTTGGAGGCCTTTATGCATTATTTGGCGAGGTTCCTCACCTGGCCATGGCCTGAGTAGGCCTTGCATTTCAGACACACGACCAGGGTCGCCCCGTCAGAGCATTCAAGTGAAACGCACCTGTGCTGGAGCCTCGAGAGGACCTGGGGGTCAAGCTTATGAAGACCCCGACAGTTCCCCCCTGCAGGTTTGTCACGAGACCGACTGACCTTCAAACACCCTTCACAACGCCAGAATTTCGAAGGACAAAATCCAACGGTGGGGCACGACATCGGGCCTATCACGAGCAGGAGGCTTGGTGCGCTCAACTCCCTCTTCGAGGCGGAGCGCAGGCCAAAGGGGCAGCAGCTTCGCCGCCAGCGCTCCTACAGCTCTCGCAACAGCAATGTTCTGGTCGAGGGGTGTCATTTTCTGATCGTCGGGCTGAGGATGGGACCGTGCCGCAACCTTCACCGACGCATCCACAAGATTGTTACCGATGCGCATGAACTTGCCATCTTCGCAAAATGCCTCTGAAACGTCCAAATGCGCCTTCACCTTCCGCACATCCACGAACGAAAGGTTTTGCCGGACGAACTGGGCACAACCAAAATACATCTTCTTATGTGATGTCTGATTGACCCATGAAATCGAAACATAATCGTACACATTTAAACAATCCGTAGAAATCCGCCGGCCCCCTTGTGGGGCCACCAGGCTGTAGGCGCGAGGTTCGCAGTTTGCTGTACCAGTTGTAGCTTGTAGCTTCCAGTGTTACAGTTCTGCTTCTTGCTGGTTACTGTAACTAGTTGACTTATTGCTGGTTACTGTAACTAGTTGATTGACCGCGCAAGGGGGGGGGGAGGCCCAAACCAGATTTTTAGCACCCCCTGGGCGCGTTGTCTGAATTGCTGGGGGGGCTCGAAATCGACACCCCTCACGCAGATCCGCGGGGTCAGGGTCCAAAAACACAAGGGATTTGCCACATTTCTGAAATTCGGTGCCACCCCTCACGCAGATCCGCGGGGTCAGGGTCCAAAAACACAAGGGATTTGCTACATTTCTGAAATTCGGTGCCACCCCTCACGCAGATCCGCGGGGTCAGGGTCCAAAAAAACATCGGATTTGCCACATTTTTAAAATTCGGTGCCACCCCTCACGCAGATCCGCGGGGTCAGGGTCCAAAAACAGTTGGATTTGCACATTTCTCAAATTCGGTGCCACCCCTCACGCAGATCCGCGGGGTCAGGGACCAAAAACAATTGGATTTGCAACATTTCTGAAATTCGGTGCCACCCCTCACGCAGATCCGCGGGGTCAGGGTCCAAAAACACATGGGATTTGCCACATTTCTGAAATTCGGTGCCACCCCTCACGCAGATCCGCGGGGTCAGGGTCCAAAAACACAGGGGATTTGCCACATTTCTGAAATTCGGTGCCACCCCTCACGCAGATCCGCGGGGTCAGGGTCCACAAACACAGGTGATTTGCCACATTTCTGAAATTCGGTGCCACCCCTCACGCAGATCCGCGGGGTCAGGGTCCAAAAACAGGGATTTGCCACATTTCTGAAATTCGGTGCCACCCCTCACGCAGATCCGCGGGGTCAGGGTCCAAAAACACATGGGATTTGCCACATTTCTGAAATTCGGTGCCACCCCTCACGCAGATCCGCGGGGTCAGGGTCCAAAAACACAAGGGATTTGCCACATTTCTGAAATTCGGTGCCACCCCTCACGCAGATCCGCGGGGTCAGGGTCCAAAAACACAGGGGATTTGCCACATTTCTGAAATTCTGTGCCACCCTTCACGCACATCCATCGCAAGGCGTGGTAACCCAAACTGCGAGAACTCCCTCGGCCCTTTAATCGCAAGGTGTGGTAACCAAGCCCGTAAACCATACACGTCTTACCAATCGCCAGGTGTGGTAACCCCTCTTGTGATCAGTTGGTTTTGCTGATTGCGAATCGGCTTCGCATGAAGTTTCGATACTGCTTCACGACAGCGCCAAGGCCTCATGACTTAGCTCTTCCATGGCCCATTCTCCGAGAGAGGGGGCCGGCGGCAGGGGGCGAAGCCCTTACGGATAGTGGACTTGGAACTTAAATGTCGAGCAGCAGCAACAAAGGCATGAAATTCAGCACTCCGGGGAGTTTGGGGATAAGGAGGCCAGACGGGACCCCTGATACGGATAACCTCCTGGAGGGTCTGCCTGTCAAGCAACGTCACGGCCCAGCCTGCTCGAGACAGCTCAGGCACGAGATGTTTGAAGCAGGAGCCGTCGATGAAGAGCTCACCGTGGAAGTCACGCTCAAAATCCAAATGCCCGAAGCCCGGGCAAAGCTCCGTGACAACGCCATCTTCGAACAAAGGCTGAGGATGCCACTCGCCAGGATGGGGAAAGACTCCGAACGTAGCAAGAACATCATCCGCTTCTCCCGTAGGAGGACAAGGGGAGGAGGAGGAGGAGGAGGAGGAGGAGGAGGAGGAGGAGGAAGAGGAGGAGGAGGAGAAGGAAGAGGAGGAGGAGGAGCAGGAGGAGTAACAGGAGGAACAAACGCTACAGGCTAGATCCTTAAGGAGGAGGAGGAGCGATGAGCGAGGAGGAGCGAGGAGGAGGAGGTCTCGAGCGGCGAACGTATGCAGATCCACGCCCCTGTGTTGGATCGAGCCGCCAACGCAACGCAAACTATGTGAACGCCGAGCTTCGCCCCCTGGGTGCAGCGAACGAGCCCAATTGCCAATGGTGCCGCAGCGAACGAGCACCGTCAACGATGGCACCGAGGGCGGCACGGAGAGCTGCAGCGCAGGGTGGGGGGGGGGGGGCAAGGAGGGATGCCACGCGCGGCGAAAGTGGGCAGATCCACGCCCTCCAGATTTGGAATCCTGGGCGCGACGGTGTGGACCCGCGGGCACACGGACGTGCCTTCCGCGCGGGGCATCGAGGAATCACCCCGAGATCTACGGGATCGCGGTCCAGGGCCCCAGGCCGCGGGGTTCACAGCGACGGCCGCGGGAGCGTGGCTCGAGAGCGCGGCCCCCGTCGCCGAGGGGCCACGGCACCACGACGGATTCCCACGGCGAATACCCTCGCCATCGCTCGGACGTCCATTTCCCGTGCAACTTTCGGTTTCGTGCGTGTTTTTTCCCGCCAGATGATCAAGGATGCTCCTCGATGGTCCTCGCCGTAGGAAGAATGCACACGTCCGAGCGATGCCAAGGTCCCAGGGTGGCAGCTCCAGAACCAAGACATGCCCAGGGGCACCTCTGCAGATCACGGCTGCCCTGAGCCGTCGTGGCAGCTGCTCGAGCAGGGGCCGACGGTCCCAGCCGTCCCGTGTGCCTGCCACGAGGTGTCCTTAGAACAGCAGGATGTTCAATCCCACCAGTCATTTGGGGTAAGGGTGCATGACGAGTTCTGCATTTCCTCCTCCAAAGCTCCCTTCCCTTTGGGAAGGGGCACCTTCCCTCTCCCCTCCCTGCTTTTGGGGGGGCGGGCCTCGATGTGGCAGAGGGTCCTGGTTCGTCCAAGATGGCTCCAAGAGGGCCTCCTTTTCAAGAGGGCTTCCAAACTGGCTCAAGACAGCCGGCGAGGGCCACACAACCGTTCCGAGCGCCCTCGGAGCCCCCATCAGAGCCCCGCCAAGAGGCCAGCACCTTCCAACACCTGAAGGAACTTCAATGATGTCTAACTTCTCGCCCTGTCGCTTCCGATGCGGACTTGAGGCCCCAAGACGGCCCAAGCGAGGCACACGAGGGGCCCACGCAGACGGCCCCCCAAGGGCGCCCCATGCGATTTTGATGGCCTCAAGGAGGGGAGGAACATTTGGCACAGCCGCCCGCTTTGGATCGATGGCCCTCTAGAGCTCCCAAGGAACCCCCACGAGAGCTCCGAGGAGGGCCCCACCCAAAAATGGCCCCAGTGCCTCCCAAAAGAGCCCCAAGATCCCCCAAAAGAATCCTAAGAGGGCTCCAAGAGGCGATTTTGAAGGTTCTGTCCTCGTTCTTGTTGTCATCCTCCTCGCGCGTACCCAACCTCGATGTCCTCCTCCTCGTCCTTGCCCGCATCTTCTTCCTTTTCATGTTCCTTTTCCTTTTCCTCCTCTTCCTATTCCTCGTCCTCGTCCTCGTCCTCGTCCTCGTCGTCGTCGTCGTCATCGTCGTCGTCTCCTCCTCTTCATCCTCCTCCTTCTCCTCCTCCTGCTTCTCTCGCCCCCACGCGGGCCCCAGGAATGGCCCGCAGAGGCCCTCGAAAGCCACCCCCCACCCCCCTGCCTGCTGCGTTTCACTAGATGTGTCACTCACTCCCGTTTTCCATCCCCTCTCATGTACAACGTTCCTGAAGGGGCCCGTGGGAGCACGCGAAGCGTCAAAAGAAACGCAAAAGCAATGCGCACCTAGTCTAAGCCGGTTGATTCGCACACGGCTGTCTCAGCCAGGAAGGTTCTCATAACATGTCGTACAGAACACAACAATGTTAGAACAATCGTTGGTATACCTATAGGCAGGCCAGGACGCCTCGCAACTGCTCGAGCTGTACCCGTCGGTCAGAAGCAGCGGATGGAAAGACGGCGTAGGACGGCGTTGGAAGCAGATTGGGCTTCCGCCCGCCCCCTGAAGGCGAGGGAAAAATGACAAGCACTCGATCCCTGAAGTCGGAAGGCGCCTAAAGTAGACTGGAATCTGCGAGTCGAAAGAAGATCTACTTTCAACAACCGACGGGGTAGGC